TAAAATATTTTGTTTTTTCTTTTTTTAAATAAACATTATTATTTCATTGGTATCATCATTTTATGCAATAATTAGAAAGTTTATTTGTTTCTTCTTTCAATGTTGATATTTTATTGCTTTATTCTCCAAGTTAGAGCATTTTAATGGTATTGTCCTCACAAAAATTTGTTATGTGTTGATTTTGATGGGTTAGAGTAACACAACCCACAAGAAGAAATTGTATCATAATAATAGAGATAGCTTTTTCATTTTAGAATTATTCCTGTTAGAGAACCACCAGAAATTAGAATGACTGTATCACATTCCCACTGTTTCTTCCTCTAATTCATCCATCTATAAAATATAAGGTGTGTGTGCATATATATATATATATATATATATATATATATATATATATATAGAGAGAGAGAGAGGCTGCAATGGGTCGCCATCTTGTATTTTTAATTTTAATGCACATTGTTTGTTTTTGTTTTCGTCAACTGCACAGTGTAGTAGGGTCAGTTGGGCACCGTCTGTAAGAAAAAGAGCACCATGACACAATTCACTCCACCAGAAATTTGGAAACTGCATGCTATACTGCTTGGCATTCTTGCCAGAACGTTCAATATGAACATTTCAGTGTGTTTGAATGTCAATCTGAGGACAATACAGAAGCTTCAAAAAAAGCTGGATGGTATATCCAGTCAATATCATGGTGTTTGTAGTGATCACTAGTGATGGCTACATTATGCCTCTATTCATCTTCCAACAGGGCCTCAGACTCAACACAGAGGCCTACATCAAATGCCTTGAGGAGGTAGTGCTGCCCTGGGTCAAGAAGGTGGCTGCTGTAATAGCTGTGTCATGCTACACAAGCAAGAGAACCCAGTCATGGCTATGAGACAATTTCTGCAATCATATCACCTCTTACATCTGGCCACCTAACTCTCCAGACTACAACCCCCTTGATTATTATGTGTTGGGCGCAGTTGAGCCAGAGACCAACAAAACTTGTAACACCAAAGATGCGTTGAAGACAAGGATAATGGCAGCATTCACCAACTTAAACAAGGAGACTGTCCAGAAGAGTTGCAGGAGTTTCTGCAGTCATCTTGAATCTGTGGTTGAAACCAATGGTGATTTTATTGAATAAATTTACTTTTTATTATTTCAAGAAATTTTTGTGTAATTTTGGTAAATATATGTGTGTGTATTATATATGATAGGATAAAGAACAAGTAGGAAACAGATCTTAAACTAACATGTTTCACTTTATTAACTGACATTGTTGGGTTATTTAGTGTTGAATTTTGAATGAGGCACCCAGTATGGATTAAACTCACCACTCAATATAATAATGGTCAGGCAGACTGGCCACACTAACCATAATCCCATGTTGAAGTGCCTATATATTTTATTGCATGTAACACTTTTCTGCTTTCTCACAAAAGTCTTCTATATCGGGAGAAATTGTCCATCTTCTGGTGACATAATGATCCATCTCTATATGGTGAACTCATCTGATGATGTAGTAGAAATAGAATTTTATTTAAACTATTTACATTGTTCAAACTATTGTCCTCATCTTTATTTTCATATTTACAACGTTTCGACCATTGTTTACTCTGGCCTTCTTGAGGTGATATATGTTGGAATTTCAAATTGAACCCTTTATTTAGTGCACTGGGCTAGATTGTTCTAGTTCCACATGCTTTTCTGGATATCATATGGCAATAAAAATGACAACAACAGTACAAATAATGTATATATTTACAACACCACATCTCAGAAATCTCGACAGATGTTGATAGAATTTTATGTTATGATATTTATCATAACATAAAATTCTATCAACATGCCTATATTTCAGAGATGATAAATTTTCATAATTATTCAAAATTGATTAGAATCTTATTTGTTTAGTTTAACATTAAATATAAACAAAAAAAAAGCCGGTCAACATAAAGGATGCAATTGTAAAATTACTTAAATATTGTCATTTTCTGACAACATGAATAACTGTTATGAAATAGAACAATTTATCTCTGAAGAATGATGAAATATCCATTGCTAATGATGATTCATATGTTTATTTTAATGATGGATAAGTAGCTTAATACATTTATTGGGTGAAGATGACAGAATTACTACAATTACTGAAACTAGCTAGATTTCAAAGCAGGAAAAGATACAAATTTTGGATATTTGGAAACCCCAATATAATACAGTATTAGTAAGCAAATGGGGATTACAATGGAAAATGTTTATCATTCATTTTGTTATTGCTTTTTATTGGAGTGCTCAGGTCATTTTATATTCCATCACTGTTAAATTATCAGCGTGTACCAAAAATACAGGAGTGTAGTTTCTGATAAAGTTTGAATTTAGCATCCAGTATCTTGAGAAGTCTATTTGATATGAGATACTGGTTCTAATCTCATGAGAGGCTACTTCTTTAGTTCTCATCCATGCTGCTTAGTAACCTTAGCATTGCAATAAAAAGAAACAAAAATAAGATGAAAGACAAATTATCATGAGTTTTATTTTTTATTTGATGAAGCATTGTCAGCCATTATTACTTTTCAACTTGTATTTCTTTCATCTTAATTTCACTTGCTTTTCATTGCAACTATTCAAACCATTATTAAACAGGGTAGATCAGAAATAAATATAATATCCTGGTAAGAACCACACTCATCCCTTTAGATCGGGAAGCCTGATTAACCATATCAGCTGGTACTACAAATGAGCTACAAAAACTCATCTAACCATTTAAACTCTCACCTTTTCTACAATCACTTGACACCATATTTGCTATTGTTTTTATGTACAGTTATTATAATAATATTATGATTTTACATTTTTGTACTAGATGAATCATTGTCAGTTATTACTAATTTTTGATAAGGAACTTATTCTTTACTTTTGATCTACACTATTTTCTCCTGGCTGTCTGAATGGATGGAAAGCAACAATAATGAAGCTGAAAAAATACTAGTCAAAAATTAATAATGAAAACATTTCATCTAAGAGATTCAATGATGACAACTTTTGAGATAATACACATTTGTATTGTACCAGAGTCTCTCTTTATATTTCCTGTCTTTTGTTGCACTTAATACTTATTATGCTTCCTTATGCCACTTTGTCTTTGTGGCACTCATTCATCAATGAATTTGCACAGACTTGTTAAGTTAGTCAGTTACTTACTACTTTTCTATGCTTCTCTTTCCTTACATGTATCCATTTACCAATGAGGATAATATCATTATTATTATTATTATACAACACCTAACTTTGATTTAGGCACGAGATAAAGTATTTGTCTTCAGTTGTTTGGGATTTGATCAATCAAGCTAAAACTTATGACTAAATTCCTCACAACCACTTAGTTGCTCTCTGATCATTCCAGCTATTTTCTGCTTGTTTTATTAATTGTATATAAGTACATCAGATGCTGCTATGAAAACATTAGTCACAACTTCTATTACAATCCTGATATACCTACATATAGAACAAAATCGGTACCTGTTATTGTGACAAGAAATATTTAATCTTTTCACGTTAAGATTTTTCTTTTCATTCTACACCCTTTAAAGATATGGTCGTAGTTGACCATGCGGGTAATAGCATTTTCCATTCCTGCATGTGCTGGTAGGATAGTCATGGGAGACTATTTTGCCCAAATGCTCATTCATTCTCTCTCATTTTTGTCAGCTATGGTGGCATGTTGATAAACATTTTGTCAAGATATCAGATGAAGGAACAGAGTGAAAGGAGAAACAGACTCATGCCTTTATCAGTCATGCAAAATGAACATAAGTCATTTTAGCTGGATTTGAACTCAAATTGCAGATGGTAGGACGTTTTTGGTACCAATGACTGCTACTCCACCCCACCTCTTTTGCTCTTTTACAAATTTCAGAAGAATGCTCAGTTACACTAAGAAGGGGAACTCATATCAAATTTGGTAATGGAATTCAAAAGATGCCAAACATAAAAAAAAATCATTAAAAATCATAACAAAAATAAATTTGTAACCTGCATTATTTAAAAATATAAATCTTTAAACTAGACTGCAATAAATTTTCATATTATTTTAGCCAGTTTAAAACAAAAATAATTACAATATGAAATTTTATAGACTGACTAGGTTATGTTATGTTGGCTGATTTTATGACATCACATCTGTCTGGGTTATTTAATATCATATTTTGAATAGGTCACCCAGTGATGATTCAACTCCCTGTTCAATGGTAATAGTCTTAGCTTTGATAACCATTACCTCAGATAGAAGCACTGAAAATGCATTGCAAACAATTTTACTATGAAAATGCATTGCCAATGACTTTACAATGAAAATACATTGCAGATGATTTTAAGTTGCTTGGGTTGAATTTTTTTTTTTTTTTTTTTTTTAACTACCTGTCAATATTTGTTGGGTTTTGTATGAGACACCCATTGAGGATTAAACTTACTACTCAGTAGTCATGGCCAACCAGACTAGCTTTGCTAACCATTACTTTGCAGACAGGCTAAGCAAAAGTCATAAAATAATTTTAAAGCCATATGTAAGTTATTCAACAAACTTTACAAGAAAACAACTCTTTAAACTTTCCTCCTTACAGATAAAATCTTCTCCACTATTGAGCCTTCAGGAAATTATTTTCCTATTAAGACAATAGAAGTGAAAAATAGCTTCTAGAATTAACATTGAATCTTTCAATAACTAAACAGTTAAAGCAAATTAGTGTGGCTTACCTGAGCTTGAACCATGGACCTTGGAGTCTCTAGTCCAGTTTTTTTTTTTTTTTTTTTTTTTTTAACCACTAAGCTATAGCTGCAGGTGTCAGAGAGACAGAAGAAAAATCATAAAAGGAGACCTTAAAGCTAAAGGAAGAAAAGCTTGAATAACTATTATAAAATAGAACAGAAGGCAAATGCAGAGGTGGACTTTTAGGGAAGGAAAGTAAGAGAAAAGTGCTGGTTAGAGGAGGTAATATAATAGTGAAAGTGGGAGGCTATAAGGATAATAAAAGAGAAAAAGGTGGAAAAAATTGATTGTCATGAGACAAGGAAGAAAGAAAGATATGGAAAAGAGGTGTGTTTGGAGAGGAGGAGGTGAATAGGGAGAAAAATCGATTGATAAAATTAAGAATGAAGAGTTTGGTAAGGAAGGGGAAGTTATGGAGGAGTGCATAGAAAAATTTGAATGCGTGAATGAAAAGGTAAAAAGGAAGGAAAGCTGGAAGGAAGAAATTAAAAGGATGGGGGGAAAATAATGAAAAAAAATGCTCCATGATAATAAAAAAAAAAAAAAAATGAAAGTAAAAAGAATTAAAAGAAGAGAATAAAAACTAAAAGATTTGTGAATGAAAATGATGTAAAAAAAAAAAAAAAAAAATAAATAAATAAATGGTGAAAGAAATGATGTTTGCAAGGAAAAGAAAGAAGAATGTGAAGAAGAAATGAAAGAATTAGAGAAAAAGTTAAAAACAAGGAAAATAATTGAAAAATAGAATGAAGCAGAGCCTAAGAAGATCAGGAAGGAAGGAAGTAGTAAAAAGTGTGAATGAAAAAAGGAAGACCGAATAAGGAATGACAAAGAAAGAAAGGAGTTAAAAAGAAAGAAAGAAAAAAAAAACAGAAAGGAATGAAGGAGCAAAGAAATAAAAAAGGAAGGGGTAAAGAATGAAAATGAAGGAACAAATGAATGATAGAAGAAAAAGAAGGGAGAATTGGATAAAAAAAAAAAAAACATAAGAAAAACAAGGCATGCTTTGTAGGTGAGATAGTTGCATATTTCCTATCCACACCAGTGAATAGTTTAATCTCAGTTAAATCACAATTTTGAATGCTGTTTGTCAAAGCAAGCAATTTCTCCCCTATTTGGAAGACTGGCACTATACAGTCTTCCCAAGCCACAGTTTGGCTTTGTTATATACTAAGCTTAGTAAATATCAAGTAATAAAAAGAGAAGGAGAGTTAGATATAAAACAAAAAGTAGGAAAGCACTGATGAAAGAAAAAACAAGAATGGGATATGAAAAACAAAAATTGAAAAGAAGCAAGAAATTCTTTAATGAAAAACAAAATGAGTGGAAGAGGAATGTGTTTAGCTTATTCTAGCCTGACACAGACTTTAATGGTGTGACATTATGTGTGGGAGGAAAAGGACAATGAATTTAGTGTATGGTGGTCAGAGAATGTGTACGATGATGTCTGTGCACAGGATTTATGTATGCTAGCATAGTACCCGTCAAAAATGATGAGATTATTTCTATATGAATTGACACTATAATTTGCCCTTTGTGAAATGTTATATACTATATACATTTATTTACTTATTTAAACAATTTTTGTTAAATTCAACCATTAAGGTCTATATGTTTAAATTTTTATTGTAATTTTTTCAATTTTTTTTTTTTTTTTTTTTTTTTTAACCAAATCAAAATTGTGGATAAAGTGTTGAAATTTCATGTTATTGTTTGAGTATTTTCAACTGTTTCTCTTTTTATCAAGAACTGAATGTTGTCAGTATGGCAGACAAGATTTTGTTGGATATATCTTGGCATTTTTGGAATGCTACATTTCCAAATGAATTCAAATATGTAACCATTAATTATTATAAACATTTAATTCATATATATATATATATATATATATATATATATATATACAACTGATAATATATTAATTTCAATATAACAGCAGAATTAGGAAAGCAAAGAAGAGGGGGAAGGTGGAGAATAAGAAAGAAAGCTAGATTAAAACAAGTGAATGAACAGAGAGATAAAGAAAAAGAAAGGCATATGAAGACCGGCTGGCTGGCTTAAGTTTTATTACTCCTTTACCCCTTTGATCTTTTAATGTGGGTAAAGCTTCAATATTTTTTTTTCTTTTAGAGCATAAAACACATGCTTTCATAGAAAGATAAATCCTCTAGTCTTAATATATAGAAATATGTATGCATGTTTGAAAATGTACACAAAAGTATTACATGTCTTTGATTCTTAGTGTTTGTGTGTACATGAAGGAAATAATGCAGGTAGGACAGTGGTTAGTAAGCTGGTCTTACCAGACTTTCTTTATGAATTCAGTCTTTTCTATATTCCCAACTATAGTGGATTTGAAACAATCTAAATTTGGTAAATAGCCTTTCACCTAACTTCAAAAATATCACTAACAATCTGCCATTGTCATAACAAAGCAACCTAGCATCGTCAGTGCAAGGGAGATAAATCAAGTTACAGGCAAAAACTTAAAAGTATATTTGACGTGGATGTCAACCTCTATATTTGTTGGTACAGAAATGAGACTGGCATGATATAAGTAGAGCATTACTTAACAAGCTGATTTCATACAACTTTGCCTGAAAATTCAGTCTTTGCTATGGTCCCAAATATAATGGTCTTGTGCTTGACTAAATTTGGTAACAAGCTGGTCTCAGAAGACATTGCTTGAAGGTTCATTCTTCATTTTGTGACAGTCTAATCTAAACTTGGTAGATATCAAGTTATGTATCTACCTATCTGTGTGCACATATAGGGTTGAAATAATATTACTTACCAGTTTTAGATGTTGCAAGGGAAGTTTTTGGTAAGTTCCCTCATAGTGCCAGACAAGTATAAAATTGGTAAATATCATCATGTATATCTAGATATTGTTATTATTATTATAATTGGTACTTGCCTTCTGGAAAATTAAGCAGAAAACTTGTCTTGAAAAAACTGGTGATTAAAATACTTTTTTTTTGCCACTTGGTTTTTCATATCTATGGTAATAGTAATATTAGCAATGAAAATATTCTTCCATCCAAGCTGCTTATCAACCTAAAAGCTTGTCAATATCTCAAGACCTGAATTAAATAGATCCAAGCATAGCTGAACATGTTTGAACTCTATCATCTGACATTGGATAAACTTTATTCCATGTATTATTTGCACTAATATCATCATCCTGTCACAATGAACAAGGAAATAAAAACTATGATTGTGATGAAACCTAGTCTGAAATTGAAAAAGCTTTTGAAAAGGTTGTTAGTTTTATGGAAAGAAAGCCAACATTCTGCTATAATGATTGCAATAATGCACACAGTTAGTCTTTCATTTTAAAAATTTCAAGAACAAAAGTAAAATGAAATGTGGAAAAGAGTTGGGAATGACATTGAAATAGAAAGAATCATCATACAACAGTGATTAAGAAAAATCCTCGTTACATTTGGTTTGCATACATGAAATACTCAATTTAATGAATTTTCATTATCATTACATAATTTATTTCTTTTTCTTTAAAATCAATTCTGTTATATTTCACTCACCATTACCTTATTTTGTTTACTATAAAACAATATTTATTAATGTTAAACCTGATTTCAGTTCTTTTATTTTAATCTAAATATAACCCCTAATATCCAGACTTTGTAACCAATTCCTCATATCTGGAAGGCCTTCTTAGTTCAGTTGTCAGGGATTCTACTGTAATTCAATATACATAAGAGCATACTAACAGGATGAATAGAAGCAGGATGGCATGAACATATAGAATTTAAAATTAAAGGGGTTTTCTTTGACAATGGTAGTCATAAAAATTGTGAGTTGAATTTAACATGGAGATGATCAAAAAAAAGTATCTTTCCTGGAAAATGTCAGCAGACCTTGCTGATAAAAAATACCACAAAAGAAAAGCAATGATAAGAAGAAAATAATAAAGAATAAACTAGTTGTTAAATAATAACTACATAAGTTATCGAATAATAAAACATTTTGGTGTTTTACTGTATAGCATTGGTTCCCAACCAATTTTGGGCCATGACCCACTTTGATATTTCTAAAGTTCTGGTGCCTCCCTGTAATTTTAATTCTTACATGTATGCCAGTTACATATGTACATACATACATACATACATACAAAATATTTTTATGTATGCTTACTGTATATGCATCATATGTTTTAACACACATTAACATTAACACTCTCACTCAGACTCGCTAGAAATCAATTCACTGTTAATAACTCATTCTCAAATTGGCCCCTTATTCTGTTGGTATAATAAGCCAAAGGGTGCACATCCTATGTATGCCCCACTATAATATGACCATGCTCCACCGGTGGGGCATATGCCCCACATAGGGAATCATTGTTGTAATGGTTAGTCTATCAGACAAACATTCTTGTAGTAAGCTTCATTTTCACATAGATAACCCACACTTGTGACCTTGTATTACAATAAGCTATCTCTCGTAATATTAAAATATTTTTGACTGTTATTATTAAAGTATTTTAAGCAGAAATTAGCTTCTTTTTCCCTATGAAACTTAATGGCTTTATGAATTTATAAGAAAATGTTAAATTAATTTTTTTTTTTTTTTTAAATTTACTTCATGAACAGACAGTACAATTTATTGGTAATCCAATGAAAATATTTAAAAAATATTTTAAGATACACTTATAGAATAAGATTTATTCAAATAGGATTCTCCTCTCCATTTATTTATAATATTTTTCAATTATTTTCTGTTCAATGTTTATTTAATGAGACAAAGTTTCAAAAATATCAAAGAAAGTAAAGATAATCACAAAAACTATTTTTAACTTTGGTAAGCTTGTTAAAAAAAAAAGCAAAAGAAAATATTGCGAAACATACTAGAGAAATTGAAAATCCTCACTAGGAAAGATAGAAAATATTTTGGAGAAATAATGATTAAAAAAGGGCTGGCAAGTTGTAGGGTATTTTCTTTATCTTTTTTTTTTTTTTTCTTTACATGGGCTCATATTCTGGATATGTAATATAATAAAAGTAATGCGATTATTAGCTTTTTTAAGCTTATAGAAAAAATACAAAAAAGATTATTTTTTCTTGTTAATAATACTAGAAAATTCACATAAAATTAGTTAATAGAAACCTCAATCAATTCTTTCTAGCACACAAGAAAGTAATATTCACAGACATTAGGAAAATGGAAATATAAAGTGACATCCAAACATCCTTTAAGAAGAAAAGGAAGATGGTCATCTTGAAAGACATTTCAAACAGTATTTTCCATTCTTAATATAAAAATTATATTGTATGTTTGTGCCTGCCTCTCTATATGTGAATGTTTGTGAACGTGTGTCTATGAAAGTTTGTGCACATGCATGTGTTGGGTTGTGTGTATGCTTGTATGTATTTGGTTATCTGTGTTTGCTTGTCTGTGTTGATGTGCTTATTTATGTGTGCATTTGGTTGTTGTTTTTTTTATTATCTGAGTGTATGATTGTTTATGTGTCTGTTTTTATGTGTGCATTTCAGCCTCTTTATGCAACATACAGAGGCAGAGTAACTATATGTGTGCATGAGAGTGAGTTTTACTTTTTTAATCTGTGTGTATCTGTTAATTTGTGTCAGTTTGCAATGATCTTTAAGAATTATTAACACAGTGAATTATGGATATTACAGATTTTACAAGCACTAGTAAACTGACCAAATGTGAAAAAAGGTCTCTTACTGACAGAATTTGGTTTCTATGAATGTATATAGTAACAAGTGTTACTGACCTGGTATTAGAAATAGACTAGAAGCCTAACTACATTTGGTCTTCAAAAAGAATATTAACACTGTGTAATATAGAAATATTGTTAAAAATATGCATTCATAATGTGAGGCTGGATAAAAAAAATGATGGCTGCCTTGCATAGTTGAAGATTAAAAAAAAAGACTGGGAAGAAATAAATTAATGGAGGACAGCTAAATCAAAAGAAGAAAAAACAAATGAAGAAAGGA